CAGCATCAATGAAGCCACCCCATAGAGATTCCCCTCTGCCCCTGGCTGCTCTGGATGCCTTTTCTCCCCCCCCCCCCACAGTGACCTCACCCCTTCCTCAACTTCAGTTCCCCCCAGGCACCTAAAGTTCCGTGTCTCCAGCCAACATCTCTCCCCAGAGCCCGAGATGCACACATCGAACTGTCTAGGTAACATCCTTCAAGGGCATTAGGGAGATGGAACACAGCAAGACATGCAGAGTTTCCCGGCATGCTGCCTGGCATAGTAGATGATTAGTAAATGGTAGCTATTATTATTATTATTTGCTATTTTTATTTAAAAATTTAGCACCATTTCAATAGGCAGAAATACTGATTTGAAAAGGCCAGACAAGACTCTCGCCCAGCGATGGAAGTTCTTCTCTCAGCCTCTGGGGTTGCAGCTGTGGGCAAACTACGGCCCGCGGGCCGGATCCGGCCCATTTGAAATGAATAAAACTAAAAAAAAAAAGACTGTACCCTTTTATGTAATGATGTTTACTTTGAATTTATATTAGTTCACACAAACACTCCATCCATGCTTTTGTTCCGGCCCTCCGGTCCAGTTTAAGAACCCATTGTGGCCCTCGAGTCAAAAAGTTTGCCTACCCCTGGGTTAGAGGGTTGAAAGCCAAACACCACACACCAAGGCCAGCCAGGCTAGGAACCAGCTCCTAAGTGTAATTTCCAAGTTCCCTAATTAATTCATTAGTGTTCCAGCGATTACTCCTGTTGACAACCTTGGTGGCTCTTGGCAAGGTTGGGTCAGCCCAAGCAAGTCCAGACTTATTGTGGCAAATCCCACTGGCTTCTGGGATGTGAGACATGATCCCCCTATGGCAGAAGCAGTGCCTTGTTAGAGAGAATTAATTGGGAGGATGAGTGGGGCGGGGAGGGGGGACCAGGTCCTCTCAGCCAACTGGCTGATGGCCTTGGTGCTGTCGGTCACAGACAGGTCTCAAAACACCCCATAAATGCCCAGGCCTACCTACATCCTGTTGGGGTTGATTCAGGTGAGGATGGGGCGCTGAAAAATCACATCCCTACCCCGCTTTCCCAGGGAACAGCCTTATTGTGCAAAGACTACATTCTTCCCAGTCTAGAGAAAGAAGCCTGGGCTGCAATGAGACACCCAGAGAACTCTGCCTATTGAGGCAGGCCTGGGGGACCAGAGGAGCCTGCGCCTGGACATGGAACCTCTGTGAGGCCAGCACTGCTCACCGAGGCCGTCTCCTGCCATCTCCCCCTTCCCTGCCCCAGAGGAACACCCATCAGGACCCACAGCCTCCTGATGCCTCCCCGCTGCAGGGCAGCCCCCAGCTCCGCCTCTCTCACTGCTGGCAGGCTGGTCAGGTGGCTGAGCGAGGAGAGGAAATCCCACAGGAAAGCAGGTGCAGCCCTTCCTGGGAGCTCTGGCCTGGGAGTGGCCTCTGGGGTTCCTCCATGTCAGCCCTGACTTCTGTGACTTTGGGCTGGTCCCGGGGCTGCTCCGGGCCTCCTGCCCCCAGCAGAGTCAGCAGGATGGTAAACCAGGACCTTTAAAGTCCTTTCCACAGGCACAGTCTCGGATCCTGTGGGTTTGTCGGCCCTGGGTACCTCCCCGGTGCAGACAGGGGGAGCTGTGAGGGCTGCTTGGAACATCTGACCACAGCGGTGCCTTCAAGCACATGGGGCACCTGGACCCTCGTCTAGAACCGCAGATTCAGCCCAACTATACAGAGAGATGCAGCGGCTTCGGGGACTGCCCGGCCCGGCCCTCCAGGAGGGGGATGCCACGGCCTCGAGAGGTGCCCTCCCTCCATCTTTAGACCTTCCAGACAACCTGCAGCCCTGGGCTCCATGTGGAGGCCCCAAGCATCAGGTAATAGCTGTGCAGCTTCCGGGGGGGGGGGGAGGGGGAAAGGAGACGGGAGGGGTGTCCCTGGCTTCATGACAAGGCTGGGCCCTGCTGGCACAGATCACACACTAGGCTTGCCATCCCGGGGGCCCCCAAGAAAGGAGCCTCATCACCTCATAGCTTCCTTTTAAAACTCTGGGGGCTCAGTTCTCACCCTCCTAGGACTGCAGGGCCTACAGGCTGGGTCACCAACTCCTGCTCTAAGACCCTTGGTCCCAGTCCTCACAGGCCAGGTCTAATACCAGGACCCGAATTTTCACCTTCCCTGACTTCCCTCTGGGCACCGATACCCTCCCGCCGTTTCTAGAGGATAGAGCAGGGTGAGTCCCGCAACAGCAGCTTCAGAAGTGCCCATCTCCAGCCACAGCCTCCATCTGCCTGAGCTCAGTGACTCCACACTCCCCGTCCACTCTTGACCGCCTCACACCTTGCTTTCCCATCAGCTTGCTTGCCCACCTTCCCCTCCACCCGCTGAGATGCCAGGGCCCACCGCTTCTCCCGGCCTCTTACCAACCTCCCTCAGGCCCCACCCAGCTGGATGAAACCCTCTGAGAGAGCCCTGTGGTGCCCGGAGCTGGTCCCCAGCACCTCTGGGTGGACAGGCCCCGCCCACAGCCATAGGCCTGTGTCCCCCCTCAGTTTCCCCTCTGCTGACAGAGCTATAGGCCTCCCCCCGCCCCCCACCTGCACTGCCATCAGGCTCTCTGACTTCCTTGGTCAGCTCTCTCTCCCACTCACTCTCTGAACGCCTAGAACAGGGGTCCTCAAACTTTTTAAACAGGGGCCAGTTCACTGTCCCTCAGACCGTTGGAGGGCCGGACTATAGTTTATAAAAAAAACTATGAACAAATTCCTATGCACACTGCACATATCTTATTTTGAAGTAAAAAAACAAAACAGGAACAAATACAATATTTGTATTTGCATGTGGCCCGCGGGCCGTAGTTTGAGGACCCCTGGGCTAGAAGCTTCTCCACAGTCCTCACACTTCTGACCTTCCCTTTCCCCACCCTCTTGCTCCCTCTCTGCTCAGACATGAGAATACAGACCAGAAGCTATCAGAACAACTTCCTTAACCTCTCCACCCCTGAACCCCACCCCAACTGCATCTGCCTCCCCTGCTGAGGTGGGAGGGCTTTCTCCCTGTCAAAGTGACCCCCTTGAACCCCCACCCCCCACTCCATAGACTCTGCTCTCCGTCCTCTTTCTCCACTTCTCTCTTGGTGTGTTCCTGTTGCACATACAAGTGCCACTTCCTCCCGCTTATAAAAGGGGAAACATCTATGAATCTGTTTCTGTTGTTTGTTAGCTTATTTTGTGTATCAAATCCCACATGTGAGTGAAATCATATGGTACTTGTCTTTCTCTGGTTGGCTTATGTCACTTGGCATAATGCTCTCCAGGTCTATCCATGTTGTCGAAAAGGTAAGATTTCCTTCTTCTTTATGGCCGAGTGGTATTCCATTGTGTACATGTGGCACAGCTCTTTTATCCGCTCATTTTACTATGGACACGTAGGTGCTTCCAAATCTTGGCTATTGTAAATAACATAGGGGTGCGCACAGACACAGACAACAGTATGGCGAATGCCAGAGGGAAAGGGGGGTGAGGGAGGCAGCAGAGGGTAAAGGGGGGATAAATGCTGATGGAAGGAGACTTGACTTGGGGTGGTGAACACACAATATGATCTACAGATGTTGTATTATAGAATTGTACGCCTGAAACCTATGTGGTTTTACTAACCAATGTCACCCCAATAAATCCAACTAAAAGTTTTAAAAAATAAAAATAAAAAGGGGAAAATAAATAAAAGCTTCTCTTGATCCCACACCTCGTTCCAGCTGCGGGTCTGTTTCTCTTTTTTCCCTTGATGCCAAGCATTCCGCCCTGCCACCCGGTTCCTCGCCCCTCAGCTGGACCTGCCCCTTGGGTCAGGGTTTGCCTTCACTGCCCGAGACACCCAGACACTCTTCAACCTCCCGGAGCTTCACCTCTCAGAGCGTCTGACTCTGTGATTGGCCCACCAGCCCCGAATCCCACTTGGCTTTGTCCCTGCCTCCCTGGTCACTCATCCTTAGTCACCAGCCCTACCAGAGCACCTCCTTTCTCTACAGGCTCACTGGCGGATCCCACTACGCCCTCGATTCCGTTACTGTCTCTTATGTTGGTGGCCCTACTTCTATCTCCCAGACCCAGTGCCAACTCCCCCAGCCTCCTCCAACCCCACGTGTCCATCCATTGCAACACGCTGTCCTCCCTCAAACCGGTCCTGCCTTGTGCCTCCATCTCATCACGTGGTACCTTCATCTGCCTGGTTGTTCGAAACCAGAAAGCTGGGCACACATCCTGCAGCTCCCTTTCCCTCCCACCACATGCAGCTCCTCAATTCTCACGAAGCTGCCTCCTAACTCTCTCGGAAAGGACCCGCTTCTCTCGATGCCCACTGCCAACAGCCTGGTCCAAGCCGCCATCATCTCTCGCTGGACGCCAGCCACAGCCTCCTGATGGCTGCTTCTCCCCCAGAGCTCCAACCCAGCCTCGCCATGCAGCCGTGGGGACCGTTCAAAATCAGCATCTGTGGTCCTGCTTTGCTCAACCCTTCCTTCTGATGACAATGACCCTCTGCGTTGGCTCCCAAGTTTGCACCTGACCCACCTCATCTTGCTCCACTCTCTGCTCCAGCTGCAGACTTTGCTCAGCTCTTGAACATGCTATGTGCTGCCTTCATCCCAGGTGACCTCAGCCCATGTGTCCCATCGCCCACTGTGCGCCCAGCCAACTCTAACCCTTCCTTTAGGTCCCAGAAAATGCCACTTCCCTCAAGGCTCTGTTGGGGCGCCTCCACTATCTCTTCCCACATCCAGCTCAGTTGGTCCTGCCCTAACAATCCTCATCCTTCATTTTCTATTCCCTGTTTCATTGTTGTGTTCACTGCTTCACCCTGAGCTCAGAGATGTCTGTCTCATTCATGGTTCTAACCCCAGCACCTAGCCCAGTGTGAGGGCGTCAGCGCTGAATAAGGATTTGTTAATTAATGGCCTAACTACATCCTCCTGTCCTGCCCTTTAGCCCCTCCCCTCACTGACCTCTGACATCTGTGGGAAGAGGCTGATGGCCAGAGGCAGGGCCAGGCCGAAGGCTGCCAGGCACACGAGGCTTTGCACAGGGAGGAGCAGCCGGGGACGCGCCTGCAGGAGAGCTGTCCTGTGGGGAGAGGAGGAGGCCAACTGTGAGAGCTGAGATGGGGTGAGCAGCCCCGGGTCACCACACTGGGTCCCATCAGAATGCAGGACCAGGACAGCATGGTTCCAGGCCAGTGCCAGCCCGTGACTAAATGGTTGCGGTGGAACTCTGTCTTTGCATCTTCCCCAAGCGCACCCTGCCCCCAAGCCCTGTCCTGAAGGACATTGCTGGTTGAACTCTCACCCATAAATCATGTATGAGCACTTGTGGGGGCCCTTCCCACACCCCACCATGTGTCCAGCCCTGTGCAAACATGTGGGGGACACAACAGAGGAGGCTGTCGCCTCTGTGCCTGGAGAGACACACAGGAGGGTAAGATCACCTTCGAAGGTAGCACATCATGAAATAGCAAACAAACCAGAGTAGGTGCCAAGTGCAGGGGAGGAGTCAGACCACACACACATGGGCACATACATGTGCACACACACACATATAACTTCACTGTGTTGTCCATCAGAGCCTTTTACACACACATATACACATACATGTGCACACATGCACACATATGTCTTCACCATGTTGTCCATCAGAGCCTTATACACCCACACATGTATACACACTCACACACGTGCACACATGCACTCACACATACCCATATATGCGCATACACATGTACACACACACATATACACACAGCCGGGAGGGGATGACCCCCTTCTGTGTGTGGGAACAGAACATACCCCACTGACTATTTCATCAAATTCAATCCAAGAGCCACAGAGATGGGCAGTGACTTGCCCAAGTCCAAAGCTAGATCTGAGGGAGGCCAGCTGGCTGCTGCCTGGACTCCTGACTCCCTGCAAGTGCTGCCACCCCATGCTGCTCCTGGGTCCTGCCTTCAGGACCCAAGTTTCATCGCCAGCATGTCACAGCTGACACCCACTCTCCAGGACAAGCTTCGAAGATGGGATTCCCGGGCAGGAGAGGGGTATGAAAAACCTCCCTCCAGGCCCGGGGCCCCCCAGATCCATGACAAAAAGGGCTGTCCAGACAGATTGGGGGCATACCAACTGGCAGATATTCCTTCACTGTGTTGTCCACCGTATTGTGTGGTGAAGACCCTGAGCACCTGCTTGGGGAGGTCTAGGGTAGGGTGCGCCAGCAGGGTGGATGACTGGACCATTTGCCAGGGGATGCTGGGCACGCTAAGTCTGACCTCAGTCACTGTGTCAGCTTCCACAGGCCTCTGACTGGCTCCTGGCAAGAAGACGATATAACTTGGGCTCTTGCCAGAGCAGGACTGCCTGTGGCCACTGGCAGGTGAGAGGCCCTCCTGGGGGCAGGGCCTCGGTGGGGGGCGGGTAAACCACACACCACCTTCACCTGCTGGGACAAGAATCCCAGGAGCACTTGGCCTGGGGCAGACAGCTACTACGGAACAGCGGTTCTCAAACTTGGTGTCTAGGCAGCTGGTTGAAAATGCAGACACCCAAGGGTCCCTTCCCCATGAAATCCTGATTCAGTTGGTACAGCACCTGGGAACCTGCATTTCAAACAACCTTCATGAGTCTAAAACAGGTGATCGGTCCCAGTCACTTCTGAGAAACCCCGGTCCAGGATGTTCCTGCTAAAGAACCAGTAAGATCCAGGTACTTGTCCACTCTATGCAAGTGAAAGGCCTGGACAGAGTCAGTGCTGAGTAATTGTGCGTTGTTATTGCCCTCGTATGTGCAGGAAAGAGGGGGGATCCTCCAGCCCTTCCCACCAGCCCAGACCTCAAGATCTGTCCAGCTGTTGAATTAAGCCCGAATTGAGTTGCTGGAGAGGGAGTTTCCACAGCATCAAGAGTTGCAGGACAAAAGTGCCTGAATCAAACTCAAGCCCATCTGACCTCCCCCTTGGCCTCGGTCCAGGGGCCCCACGCTCTCCCTCTCCTCCATGCAAGCCTCCCGCCAGCCATGGACTCAGCCCCAGGCCGCCTGGGCTTCCACGGGAGTCATGGAGGGGCCAGGAGAAAGGCTGAGATGGGCCCTGAGACCTTTTTAATGAGGATCGATTTCTCCAGCAGGACAAGGGGGTGGGATACAGGGCTCACCCTCCGGACTTGCACACAGACCTGGGGCCCGGCTCTGCGAAGCTTTGGAAGGCAGGCAGGACCTCATTCCCAGGGGTCGCTGAGGGCAAGGAAGGTGTCAGGGAGAAAGAAGGTGGCAGGTGAGGGGCAGGCCATGAACTCATCCTTGGGAACTCCAGACGGTCCCCCTTCTATGTGGGGCCGTGATGCTGGCTTCTCTCTCAGGGTGGCTGGCTGAAGTCCCCACGGGGAAGGGAACTCAGGAAGTCCAGAAGGAGGCAGGCCTGAGACTGCAGCCAAGCGGGAGCCTCCGTAGAAGTCCCAGCCCAGCCCAGGCACTAGAGTGAACACAGCAGGACAGGGGGAGGGGAAGAGAGGTGGGAAATGGCAGGGAGGGATGGGAAAGGCAGCTGGGTGAATTAAAATATGCAGATGGAGAGATGTGCGACTGACTGGGAGAAAGGAAAGACCCGGATCCCAAGGAATGAAGGAGGCAGGAGCGGCCTCAGGAACCACCATGGAGGGTGTGAGCTGAACCCCAGACCCAGCTGAAACCCAGGCTGGGGTGAGGGGTGAACTCCAGGGGCAGGGGTTGGGGGCTGAGGGCAGAGAGCCCCGCACTTGCCTGGGAGTTAGGGAGACTGTGGAGGAGGGGCCGATCTCCCAATCCCCCAGCCTGGGGTCTAAAACCAGCCTCCTCCTCAGCAGCGAGGCTGTGCTAGGTGAGAGGATGTGTGCTGGGGAGTGGGCACCCTCAGAGGGAGGCCCGCACTGTGGGCTGGGAGCTGAGGCTCCTCTGCTTCTGACTTCAGACACCTTTCCTTTCGGTCTCAGAGCCAGGGACACCTGGACGTCCTGGGGCCCACTCTCTCCTGCAGGAAACCCAAGGCTTCAGGCAGGTCAGAGGGTTCCTCGCAGAGAGGAGAGACTGAGGCCACAGGCGAAGCGAGCTGGGCCCCAGCCCCACACACAACGAACAGCTCCTATCCCCACTGCTATGCATCCCCTCAGCACTTGGAGCAGTTCGAGTTTGCGCTCCATTAATTTGCAAGCAGGCTGCTTGGTAAGTGTTCTTTTGTCTTTTTCCTCTGGCTCCCTCATCAAGGGTGGGGCCACCTCTCCACCCCCTCCTCAGCAGGGCCCTGCCACTAGCACCCCGCATAGGAAGGCCATGGGGTGCTCAGTGGGACCCCTGCAAGGAGCCAAGGGCCTGCCGGATGCCAGGCCCCAGGGGACAAAATGGAGAAGCTGGCAGAGTTGGCATCCTCCAGGTGGGAAACTGAGGCTGAGGGAGTCTCTTGAACCAAACCGGCTCAATAGTGACAGAGCAAGAACCCAGAGTTCATTTTCTACCAGGAGTCTCAGCAGGTGCTGCTACACTGGCCCTCCCACCGCCCAGTCTTGCAGTGCCCCCATGCCCATGAATTAGTAAGTCTTTGAGGGCACAAACTGGGTCTTCTTCATTTTGATATTCCTGGGGGGACCCGGGCTGGACTCTTCCTTCTCCCCAGAGACTGTCCAAGAAGCCTCAGGGAAGGACCAGCCAAGTACAAAGCCAACCTGTCTGTACGAGCCCAAGGGGCTTCTTTGGACCTTGAGCTGAGCCAGACCCGTGGCAGCCAGGCTCTGAGCAGATCCCAGGCGAGGGAGGCTCAGAACTAGAACCATCCCACCCACCTTCGTGCCTCTCAAAGCCGAGTTTAAGCTCCCAAACAAATGGGACACTAAGGGTCACTGCACTTTCTGGAAACTCAACTCAGATGCCAACCAGGAAGGCCTCACAGACCACATCTCCCCCCTCCCCAGGAAACTCCAGGCTCAGGACTTGGTCATCTAGAAGACAGAAGCCCTACCTTCCCAATTTCTCTGTGGTGTCTTGTGTACTGCAGTGGCTGGTATTTGGGGACAGCCTCAGTTCACAAGGCAGCTCGTATACAAGGCTCAGGGGCACAGAAGCAATTGCCTTCCCAGGATCTGTTTAGTTTTGCAACTTACATACGAGATTAATTGTCTTATATCCCGGGCTCAGCTCAACATACCGTGCCCTGACCAGGTGCTCCACCCTCACACCTGGCAGCAGGGGAGGAGAGGGGAGGTGTAAGGGTGGGGCACACTTTGCTTCTGTTGGGCTGGACTCCCTGCTGTCTACACAACAGGCCCACATGTTGCTCAGAAAGCCCTCCCTCCTGCCAAAGTCCCATTCTGCTCTCAAAGTCAACTGCAGCCCCTCTCCTGTGGACCAGACTTCCTTGCTGCCGGGCCCACAGTGCTCCCTCCCCTCAGGGTCACCTGATCCTGCTCACACTTTGCCCCGTCCCACCTGCCACTGACCTGTGTGTGGGTCTACCCATCTCCCGTATCATGATACAGGCTTTCTGAGGTCAGGCCCCCAAATCTGCTCTTCCCCAGTCTCCATGCAGGGCAGGGCCCAAAGACATGCTGGTTATGTGAGGTGATCTGAAGACCCAAGAGGCAGCCAGTGTGGCAGGAAGAGCACAGCTTTGCAGCCACAGTCCTGGGCCACTCCTGCCTCTGCCATTTCCTAGGGTACAACTGTAAGCAGGTGATAAAGCCTTCGCCTTCCTTTCCTCATGGAATATGGTAAAACCAGATACCGTATTTACCTCATTGCACTGTTGTGAAGGCTAAATGATTCACTTCATTTCATTCATTCATTCATTCATTCATTCATTCAACAAACACGGAGCATCTACTGTGTGCTGGGAACTGTGCTAGATGCTTTGCAGGGCAGTAAATAAAAGGGATTTACTTGTCTTTGTGAAGATTACATTCTAGTGAAGCGGACAGATAATAGACAACCAGATAAAAGATCTCAGAGATTGCTAAGTGCTGTGAATAAAAATAAGGCAATGTGAGGGGAGTGGGGTGTCTGTTAGCTCCATGGGGTGGTCAGGGAGGGCCTCTTTGGGATGGGATTTGGGCAGAGGCCTGGTTGAGAGGACTGGGATGCAGTCAAGTGCTTGATGAATATTAGCTGTTATTATAATTCGTGTTGTGGGAATAAGAAGGTCTCCATGCTGAGGAGAACATCCTGCCCCAGAACCCCAGAGGGGGTGCCCCCAACCCTTCCCTTATCTTACGCCGCCCCTAGGCCCAACTGAGCTCACCCCCAGGAGGGAGACAGCTGTCACCTCTGTATTACCTGCACCCCAGGGGTCTGTACCTTCAGGCTTTTATTCATCTTGTTCCCCCCACCTAGGCCCTTCCCCACTCCTTTCCTCCTGGATTCACCCTATTCCTGCCCAAACCACGTGAAGATGGGCCCTGGCCCCGCCCCCCTCCCTGCTCAGCTTCTTCTCCTTCCAGCAGCATTTCAGTCCTCACGACTCAATCTCACACCCATTAACTAATACAATCACTCTACCATTGTTTTGTTATTGTGTTCCTTCATTTCTTTCCAGTCATGGCAAGCCTGTGTTCTCAGAGCATCCCTCTGAGGGAGGCAGGGAGGTTGCTACTGTCCGCGTTTTAGAAATGGAGAAACTGAGGCTCCGCGACAGTGACATGCCTCATGGTGGATGCCTCCAGGGGTGGTGCTGGCTCCATATTTAGTCCTCACACTCTCTTCACACTGGTCCTGCCCTGTGCAGCAACAGCGCGTGTACACACACACACACACACACACACACACACACACACATACACACACACACACACACACGTATGCACACAGACTCACACACGCCAGAATCTCCAGTTCTTCAGGGCAGGGCTAGCCTCCCCAGCACCTAGCACGGGGTCCTGCACAGTTAAAGTCCATGAATTCTCAGATTCCAGTCGCATTGCCTGGGAGAGTCTGAATAAACTGCCCCACCATCCCATCCCTTGACCTGGGCAAGCAGCCCCCCTCCCCCCTCCTGCCCAGTGGTGGCCCCACGGTCCTGGCTGCCCCAACTCACTTCTCCAGCATGGACATGACGATTGGAGGGAGCACCAGGATGGGCATGGGGAGGACCACTCGCGTCAGCGCCGTCTCCAGCAGGGCCTGAGGAGCAAGCGGAGGCTGTGGTGAGTGGGGCTCCCCGGTCCGGGCACAGCCGCCTGGCAGCCAATCCCACCCCAGAGCCCCGAGGTGTGTGCATCACTGCTAAGCAGGCCTGGCTGAGTGGAATAATTCATGGATTTGCTCACGAAGACATACTCCAACAACTGAGAAAAGCCACCCCCGTCTTCTCATCACACACATTTGAAGAGCAGATCCCCGACACCTGCCATATGTGGGGGTGGGACAGCAACACAGAAGTGCCCAAGGGGGTGCCTCGGGTGGGTGGCAGGTGCAGGGGCTTGGGGGGAAGCAGCAGGAAAACTTGAGATGCTCTAAAATCTAAGCAGGCCCTGGAAGGACCCCAGCAAAGAGCTGGGGCCTGGTGCCGAGGGGGGACAGAGACTCTGGGAGTTGCTGTTCTCGGACATCCCTTAAAGACAAAGGTCCGAGGAGGAGGCGGCTTTCTGGGTGACCAGGGGGAGGCACTTCCGCTGAGTGTCTGCGAGTCTCCCAATGGGCCCTGCCTGGGCCTGGCTCTGGGGCTCCCTTGGGATTCCCAACAGGGGGCACAGTCAGGGCACAGCTGTGGCACCCCTGCACTCTGCCGGTCATTGTGGGGAGTCCATTTAACCCCACAGGCTTGGTCCCTCCAGGAATGACTGGTAGTCCCCCGGGTCCCTGGTCTTCCCTTAGACCCGTGGTCAGCAAACTGCGGCTCGCACATGCGGCTCTTTGGCCCCTTGAGTGTGGCTCTTCCTAAGCTTTAGGAGTACCCTAATTAAGTTAATAGCAATGTACCTACCTATATAGTTTAAGTTTAAAAAATTTGGCTCTCAAAAGAAATTTCAGTCGTTGTACTGTTGATATTTGGCTCTGTTGACTAATGAGTTTGCCGACCACTGCCCTACACAGCAAGGGGCTGTAGCCAGGCTGGGGAACACCCAGGGCTGCAGAGAGCTTGGGGCTCCTGCCATTTGGACCAGGAAGAGGACCATCAACATCAGCCTCCCTCACAGCAAGTCAAGAAAGAGTATAGGGCTAGAGAGGAGGTTGGTGCCAGGTAGGAAACTGAGGCCAAATCCCTTCTGAGGACAGGCTCGGGGTTGGAAATTTCTCCCAGGAACTGGGGTTCTTTGTGACCAGTCTTAGGAAGGCCTGGGAGAGGGTCCCTCCAGCCTCCCTCCCAAGCGGGAATGAGGGGGTCAGAGCCCGTGTGTGCGGGAAGCAGAGGGCGCAGGCAGCATTGGCACCGGCAACCTGAGCCCCTTCCCTTCAGAGCCTTGGGTGGGCACTCACTTCCCCCCGAAACAGTGGGGAGGGGAGGGCTGGATGAGAGAGGGCTCTCCCTACACTGGAGGCTCATAGAGGAGGCCGCCCAGACAGAGGTTCCGCTCGGCCCCTGTGGGAGCTGAGGAGGGACAGGACCTGGAGCAGAAATGCTTGGCTACCTTGCAGCCGAACCCCCCTGTCCCTGCCCTTGGAAGCCAGAGCCGGGAGAGCCACTGATCACCACTGGGAAGAGGGCTGGACACAAGCATACTGGAGTTAAAAAAATATTACAACTGCTGCAGTGGGTGAGGAGGGTGAAACCAGAGGTGGGAAAGGGCCTTCCCGTAACAAAACATTCTTCTCCAGCCACCCACAAGGCCTGGGGCAAGCCTGAAATCCCACACCTTAGCGCACTCACTCCTCACTCCCCAGCGAAGCACCAAGTGCAGGAGTGCTTATTAGCACAGAACCACAAGCACCCGTGCCCACACTTCCTCATCTTACCCAGGAGGACGTGAAAGCCCAGGGGACAGGGTCCCGGGTCCCGGGGAGGGAAGGGAAAGCTCTGGGGTCTATTCTGCCCTCGCCAATTAACAGATCAGAGAAGCTGGGTCCTGAGGGGCTGCGACGAGAGATGGGGACAGCTCACAGTGGTGAGGACAGGGCACTTGGAGAGAAACAGGGATGCCTAGGGGATGGGTGTGGCTGGACCAGACCTCCAGGCTGGGGCTCATACAGAGGGCAGGTGGGGCAGGGTGAGGAGGCGAGATTAAGAGGACAAAGCAAGGGTGCTGTGGGCAAAAGTCTTTGAGGAATGAAAACATTTAGGGGAAACCAACACCCTCCCTGTGGCTGCCCCCCACCCCCACCGCCATGCTCCGCCCCCTGAGCCCCGGGAGGACCCACATGTCTGGCTGCGATCCTGGAGGAGCCCACGAGGTTGCCATCGCCGTCCAGGACATCGATCCCTTCTTCCAGCTCCCCGTACCGCATCAGGACCACGTTGCAGATATTGGCGCTGGCTGGAGAGAGAAGGAAGCAGGAGTGAGGGGGAGGATGGCATTCCACTTGGTAGGACCCTGGGCTCCACCTTCGCCCCAGACTCCCCAGCCCAAGCAAGGAAGTTCTGAATAGACGCCAAGCTTGTGTTCAAGTGCAGTGGGGGAAGGTGTGGTCCTGGTGCCTATCAGCTTGGTGAGGGGTTTGGGACCTTGAGAACCTGGTGAGCAAGGCTGGAAAACAACCAGTGTTAGGGAGGAAGGGGGAACTGCTCAGGGCTTAGAGAGCGGCCAGTTATCAAGGAGACTGCCCCCTGCAGGCAGGCCAAAGGGGTGCCCATCTGGGGGGCTCTGGGGCCTGAAGACACATCCCCCATGGGTGCCTGATGCTCCCCCATAGCAACTCAGCACCCCACATCCAGCCCCTTGCTCCTCAGAGTGAATCAAGTTCCCAGAGATTTGCTTCTCTGACAGCAGGTGCCAGAGCGGCAGGAACCTCAGTGCTCACCCAGCACCGCCCCCTCATCATATGGATGGAAAATTGAGGCTCACGGTGTATGTGTGTGTGTGTGTGTGGGCAGGGGGATTTATCTGAGGTCACATAGCAAAGTGAGGCAGAGCTGAAAGGCCACAGAGCCTGGTCCTCCGGACACCCAGGAGGGGGGGAGAGGGCGGGGTCAGGCAGCGCTACGGGAATACCTTCTGCTTTTGGCTTCAGGTGGCTGGTTCATCCTTTGACCATGCCCACCCATCTCAGCTGAGATCATGGGGGCCTGGGCTGAGGGGAGGGTTCCTAGATCCATAGTTAAACACTGGATGCCAGAGTTTGAGCTGGTGGCTAGCTTCAGGAGCCTTCCCAGGGACTCACAGGGCTGGGCCTGGGCCCAGGCCCAAGGCTAGGTGTGGGAGCTGACCTCGCCTGAACTCCCCCAGCTCTGCTCCAGGATGGAAGTGGGGGAACAAGGGGGTGGTGGGCGGGTGGGGAGTGGGGGGTGACAAATGTGGAGCCCGCCTGCTTCACTCCTCCCCCCAAAGCGCCTTGCTGTGTTTAAAGTTTTAATTTTTGCTAATTAATGTCAATTAATTTTGTATAATGAGTGTTTAATTTTGGGGAGTGTGTGAGCCTGGGAGCGACTGCAGTTCTGGGCTGTGAACGCTGATTAGCATCAACACCTGCTGCTTCCCCACTCCCTCCAGTGGGGGGGGCGGGGGGGGGGCACCCGGGTTTGGGGAGCTGGAGGGCGGCAGGGCCTGGTGGGCAGGTGGAGTGGGAGGAGGACCGCAGATGCTCCTGGTGCCTGAGCCAACGCAGGGGAGCAGAGGGGCCCAGGGTGCTCGCAGCTGGGGGACAGGGTTCTGCAGGTGAGGGGTGGCTTGAGGCCCTGGGGTCTCTAAGCCTCAGTCTCCCTGTTCAATAAAGTGGAAGGTGGAACAGGCAGAGGGAAGACCAAGTGGCTCCACAGTCTTTGGAGAGAAAAGCAGGCGACCAAATACAGTTTTTAAATGTATTTACAGCACAGATGTCATCTTTGAGTAGCTCTCATGTTTCCACAAGACACTCAGCTGCACTGGTACCCACGGGCAGACCTCCTCTCGCCAGGCCACTCCTGTCCACACGGCAGGCAGGCTCAGCAGTCTGATACAGTGGCTCTCAACCAGGGGCGATGTTGTGAGACATCTGGCAACATTTGGAGACATTTTTGATGATCACAGCCTGGTATGTGTAGGGGTTGCTATAGGCCATCTAGTGGGTAGAGGCCAGAGATGCTGCTAAACATCCTACAATGCACAGCACTGCCCCAAGGCAAAGAATTATCCAGCTCGAAACGCCAGTAGTGCTGATGTTGAAAACCCCTGTGTCACGCACATCTAGAGACCCACAGGATGAGGAAAGTGGATCTGAGAGGTTGGGAACCCCGGCTTCGGGACAACGGGGCTTGGGTTCTAATTCTGATGCCGAATCTCCCCCTCCTCACCCTCCGAGGAGAGCTCCCGCCAGCCCCAGGCCCTCCCAGGGCTCAGGGCCAGGAAGGGCCCCCACAGTGGCCTTGGGAAGGAGGGCACCTAGCCGGTGACAGGGATGCTCTTCGTCCTTTACCCCCGGGGCTGCCAGGCCTGCAGTTCCCAGGAGACCCAACACAACCACCGGAGAGGACATCGGGGGTTTCTGCCCTGAAAGGCATGGGTCTCTGACCTCAGAGAATAGCTTCTGCCACCGCTGTTCTGAAAGGCAAGGCTACAGGAATGTGGTCCAGGGGAGGGGCCTCTGCTTCACATCAGGAGGCGGCAGCTCACTCTGCAAGCTCCTCCCCCTACCCCCTGGGTGCAGAAGGAAGGGCTGCATGAAGCGGCTCCATGGGGTCACAGCCTCTGCACCAGTGCTCATGCCAGGTCAAGGGGAGCCAGGAAAGGCGGAGACATCTCTAGCTGTGCGTGTGCGTGTGCGTGCGTGCGTGCGTGTGTGTGTGTGTGTGTGTGTGTGTGTAGGAAAAAGACAAAGAAAAGAGACAGTGTGGATTTGGAGCTGATGGCCCAGTAGTCCTAGGTGACATCCTGCTTGCTCTCCTCAATTTTCAAATATGCGATGTAGCCACATCAGGACAGAGCAGGACTCTGGTTCAAACACAAAATGACTTGATACAAAAGGTAAAGTATGAAAGGGAGTGAAAACCCAGCCTCCCTCTCCTCATCAGCGCCCCCAGGGCACTCTTCAGAATGAGAAAGCTGCCCTCTCCTCTAAGCTGTCTGGGGGCGGGGGGGGGGGGGGGCGGAGGGGGGGGAAGCAGTGAAAACCCTAAAAGCCACCTCAGAATGAGGGCAATCCCCAGGCTCCTCCCTTGGAACACCCCCATCCTTACTGCCTATTCAAATGGCACATGCACCGTCATTTCTCCTGTTGACTGTGTATACTGGCTGTCCATTTATTGGGCACCTGCTGTATGCACAGGTTAGCTGCTATCACCTTTGAGCAGTGAGATTGCTGGCCTGTTTCAGTCATTTCATTTCCATGATCTCACCCAGAACATTCAGTTCTGCTGTCTTTCTCCCAAGCCATCCTGGTCCCTCCCATCAGTTCCTGGCCAGTCCACTCCTGAGTCACGGACACTGAGAGCCGCAAGGGAATAGCAAATGGAAGAGAGAGAGAGAGAGAGAGAGAGAGAGAGAGAGAGAGAGAGAGAGAGAGAGAGAGAGAGAAACCAAGATCAAGGCCAACCATGGGTGGCCACGGGTCTCCTCTCTAGCACACTGGCAAGATCGACGATTGACAGTAGCACAGGTTAATTAAACAGTGGGTTAGTGATAATGCTAAGGAAGCTGGCACATTTTCAACTTGGATTGACACCATTCAAGACTCAGGCATAACTGATGTTGGAGCAGCGATGCTGGGAGATGTCACGGGCTGAGAGAGAGAACGAGAGATCGCTGCGTGCTGATGCAAGCGCCGTGTCAAGTCCCGAGGAAAGTGTGGTCTTGACTGCTGCAGATGTTCGCACATCAGACCCGTCGCGATGCACCATCATGCCGGGTGTGAACAGCTATGAAGTGCCCCGTGTAAAAGGGACAGTGTGGGAAGAAGGAAGAGCAGCAGACGGAAGACAAATGTGCAAGAAAGTTCTCAAAAATAAGACTACAGGAGAGCTTGCCCCCTGAACTACCACAGACACATAGGAACAGACACATGGATCAAAAGGTAATAGACCAGCCCTGGTTGGTGTGTCTGAGTGGTTAGAGCATCGGCCGGAGCACCCAAGGGTTTCGGGTTCAATTTCCTGTCAAGGGCAAGTACCTGGGTTGCAGGTTCAATCCTCGCCCTGGTGGGGGCGTGTGCAGGAGGCAACCAATCGATATGTCTCTCACATTGATGTTTTCCTCTCGCTCTCCTCCCCCCCTCCCCACTCTCTCTAAAATAAATCAATGGAAAAAAAATATCCTCAGGTGAGGATTAACAACAAGAAAAAAAGTTGTGCAGAGATACATCCATCTGTGGCGGGGGAGGGAAGGGAGGATGAGTTAGTAGTAAAGCAATTATATCAACTCACAAGGGAAGGACTCTTCAATTATGGGGGTGAAGCAACAGGCTATCTATTCTCTTAGGGAAAATAAAACACCATAACTCCTCTATCCCAAGATGCGTTTTCTCATATTTTAATGCTTGCAAAATCATGATATACCTTACAATGGGTGTTTGAGGGAGGGGGATCTTATCTGCTCCCCATCACAACTGCCCGGGCGTGGGTGAACTTAGCCGTGTGTATCTGTTCATTCAAGCGTCACCTCAGTTGCTTACAGCGATCCACACAGAATTTGAACTTAAACTTAGATCCCTAATTGTCGCCTAGAACTTCTTTTTAAAACTTACACTATAATGGAGCGCGGACGCGAAAAGTTATTGTACATGCGGAAGATCGTCTGCCAGATACCAGGCAATGCAATTAAAGGCAGCAGAAATTGCCAAACCATAGATAGCTACCCTAAAGAAATGCTTGCCCATATGTACAAAGAGACATTTACAAGGATGTTAATTATAGCACTGTTTGTAAGAGCAAATAATTAGAAACAACCTAAATGTCCACCATTTACGGAGTCTACATGGGAAGCTCTCCAAAACAAACTATATGAAAAGAGCTACCGAGTCTGTACAGAATGGTTTACGGAATGCAAAGCCTTGTAATTGGTATACACACATCTGTGTGCACAGAAACCCACAAGTGAGGTTCTGGAAGCTTCACACCACAGAGTGGTCTCCTTGGGGAAGGAAACTAAATTTAGGAATTAGGGAGTGTCGCAGGACTTCCACTTTTTACCCTAAAATTTTTTACACTGTTTGCATTTTTACAGTGAGAATAGAATCACGTGTTACTTGTTTAAACATTGAAAAGAAATAGCCAAACTTCTTGAAGTCGATCATAAAAGTTTGAAAGCCAGCAGGGATTGGTGCGACCTATTCATGGGTCCGACACTTAGGCATCTATATGTCTGAAACTACCTAAGGAAGCTGATGAACTTCAGGAATCATTTTCCTG